GGCTGCCGAGGTCGCTCCTCCCAGCCCGGAGGAGAGGAAGCACACCTACAAGGAAAGTTCGATCCGGGAAGGAAAGAACGCGCCAGTCTCCAACACTTTATTTCAGGCGCCGGGGTGGGTGGGGGTCGCTAACTCAAGTCAGATGAGCCCAGAGCGGAGGCGCTGGCGCTGCTGTTTCCAATCTCTGACATCACCGCGCTCCCCACCTCCCTCTTCCCCTCCGCCGAGAGCGCCCGGGTCGCTGCTCCCCGGGCGCCGGCTTCTTAGGGCGCAGGCGGAAACCCGGAGGGAGGGAAGGGAGGGGTCCCTGGGTCCCGCGGACCCATTCCAGCCAGCAGCAGGCAGGTGCCCTGGGTCCTTCCTGGGCCCCCGCCTCGGCGGGCCTGAGTAGCCATTTGAACGCTGGTTGGCGAGAAGCGAGGCAGCCTTCTAGGGTTAGTGCTTGTGTGTTTTGCTGGGAGACTTTTTGTTTTTTGTTTTGTTTTTAGAGACTCCACTGGAGCTGCCGCAGCCAGATGGAAGTAATCAGAACCCAACAACAGAGGAAGAAGGAAGAAAAAAACCTCACTGAATTTTGGGGCCAAAATGTGTATGGGGGTGTGTGTGAAAGAACTTGTTAAGCAAACTCGGTGACTAGGTCCCAACCCTTCAGGGACCACCAGCCTCTCCAGAACTGAGGGTCCTCACCCACTGGGAGAATTTTTTATTTTTCTTCCGAACATTTGTGGAGCACCTACTATGTGCTAGGGGACAGGTTTTATTTCCTTTATTTTATTTAACCTACAAAATTCCGTGAGATAGGTTCTTTAATACCCAGTTTTACAAGGCCGGGGTTACTGAGGTTTAAAGACGTTAAGTAAGTAACGTGTCCAAGGTCAGAGCACTGATGCCATGAGTGTCAGTAGTTGTAGCATCAGTTCACCCAGTTTCTCCCAGTCCTGGGCGTGGGAGCATCAGCCCCTCTTCCTACCTTGGACCTTGTCTGGCAGCTCGGAGACCCAACTCTGCCCGCCCCGTGGGGTGTGAGCTTCACAGGCCCATTTCCTGATGTAATTCCTTGTTTTCAGTAACCCTCTCCCTACACCATGGAGCTTCCCTAACTTTATTTTTCACTTTTTAATCAAAGACGCAGCATGCTGATTCCCATTTCCTCTTACCCTCCTTTCTTCCTTTCTCCTTACCTACATCTGTATGAGAGAAGCAACAATTTCTTCTTGACCTGGAGAAAAAAAAATATGCAGACTAATATTAGAGCAACTCGATGCTAATTTTGTTTTTCTTCAAATAGGCTATCCAGATGGGAGGAGGGAACCTGCAGGGATTTAAAAAGCAAAACTTGCAGAGGCCAATGCATTTATTAAAGGGAAGTGAAATTTGAAAGGGGCTTTTTCTTTAAATATGATCAGAATCACCATTCCTCCATGCTATTTGTTTAAATTCCTGCTGAGCTTTCAGAACACGGACTCCAAGGAGACAGAAAAAGTAAACGCTCCCTCCCGTCCTTGGCCATATTTTAATGACCCTATTCATATCTACCACAGGAAGTGCAGGGAATCATTTCATGTTCCTGGAATATTAGCAGCGTCGGCTGATTACTTCATTACCAGCTTGTCTCTGTCGGTTTCCTTGTGTTGTTACGTTTGTGAAGTTTAAACAAATCAACATTTTGGGATAGTTCCTTTTCTCTGTTTTGCTTCTCCGACCAGCTCAACTCCTGCTGGAATCCAGGCACTCCCATAACCATTCCTGGCTTATTTTGGCAAGAAGGTGGCTGTGGAGGTGAAGACGGAATGTTTTCAGTTTGAGGAGAGGCTGTAGACCGGGGCCTTAACCCCTGATGGTCAGAAGTTTGGGCACCAGAAAAGGCAGCGGGAGGTTGGGAGCAGAGGCAAACTGACAGAGCAGAGAAAGCCTGCACCTGAACCTCGGCGCACAGCTCCTGGCCCCCGTCTAGTACTAAATACAGGGCCTTGGGCAGTCCCCGTCCGTTCCCTCAGCAGCTCTCTGTGTGCCAGACGCAGTGCTGAGTGATGTAACTTCTCAGGGAGGGCGGCTGGCGTGTGGGACCCTTTGCCTCATGGAGCTCACGGCTCATTGGAGCTCTGAAACCTTGTTCACTCATGCGCCTGCTGGTCATGCTGGCTGTTGCCTGGGGGCCTCTCCATGTGGCCTCTCTGCTTAGACTGGCTTGGACTTCCTGGAGCCTGGTGGGTGCCAAGGGTGAGCTTAGTGAGAAATAGCCAGAGGAAGCCCTGTTCCCTTTTAGAAAACCCTGGAAGTCACACAGCATCACTCGGCTGCATGCTGTTCAGTGAGACAAGAAGTTCTGGGTTTGAAGGGAAAGGAAAATAGACTCTACTTCTTGATGGGAACGAGACTCTGGAGAACATCTTGGGGCAGAAACGGTGCTGTGGAAACAGGTCTGCGCCACAAAGCTCACTGGAGACGCGGGGAGAGGAGCAGGCAGCCCGCAGATGTGCTCCAGGGCTGGGCTACAGAGCCCGGGAGCAAGCACTGAGCACTAGGAGGAAGCGGGAGGCCAGCCCCTACCTTCCAGGAGTCCACACTCTGATCAAGAGACACACAAATTTGGCCACAATTGAAGGTCACAAAAGGACACCCTAAGTGAGGAGCGGCTGTGGCTGAGGGGAGCAGGTGGTAGACTGCACAGCCAGTCAGAGGCAAGGAGGAGAGGGAGGAGGGGCCAGAGCAGCAAGGGCCAGTCCTCCCAAGGGGATTGACTGTAGATTGTCCTTAGGGCTCCTGAGATGGCCGGGCTCACTGCCCCTCCACTCACTCGGCTGCATTCTATTCCTTGAGAGGAGAAGTTCTAGGTTCAAAGGGAAAGGAAAATAGACTCTACTTACTTCATTCCCTCATTCATCCTTGTTGAGCTCCTACCATGTACCATGCACTTTAGAGATAAAAAGGTGAATGAGACAGTCCTTGCCTTCCTCCACCTGCTCGTCCTCGCTGGGTGGCACTCTCATAGGTCCTTGTGTCAGCTTAGACGAGTAAGGACTAGGAAGGAGGCTGTCATGTGCAGGACAGCTTGGAAAAGGAAAGTGCTTCAGAGGGGACCATGGGAGATTGGTGCAGCCCTCCTGGGGACAGGAGAGGAAGGGAGGGGAGGGGAGGGTAGGGGAGAGGAGGGGAGGGGAGGGGGAAAAACCAGCAGGGCTTGCTTAGAGGTCCAGGGGATGTTTGCCAGGCTTTCTCCCCCTCAGGGCCAGCCACTCAAGGACTTTTCTCAAGACACATTGTGGGTTTCTTAACCAAACTGAAAAAGATAACATCATCTCATAGCCACTAGTGAGCCTAAGAAATATCAATAGTCCTCACCAGTCACATAACAACAAAAGACACTATTTCAAGACAGCTTAGAAAGGAATTATTAAATACACCTAATTAAAAAACAATGAAATTACTGTAAGATTCTGGACTGAGCTACACACTGATCTTAGGGATAGCCTCCGTGCCTTTACGGCATTAAATTTTCCTTCAATTAGCCACTGCTCTTGGCGGTTACGGGAAGCCATGGCGAGACAGTGGGCGATGGCCGTGTTCTAAGACATCTGCTTCCAGTGGGAGGAAGATCATGTGGAAGTCACCTGTGGACTGCCCTAAAGGACATCTGAACGTGAATCTTCCCCAGTGGGTATAGGTAATTGCTCTTCTTTGACCTCCTTCATTATTATTTTATTAATGTTTCCATTTGTCTTTTAAAAGGTTTGGTGTCAAAGGTTCATGCCTGGGTTACTTGGTGAGCCTCCATTTGCCAGAAATCAGCTGGAGAGAGGCGAGGTCCCACTGCCCTTGAATGATTTGAAGAAGGAAAGACATGGCTTGGGGAGCCCCTGTCAGACCTCCAGGTGGAGGGCCTGGGCAAAATGGGAGCAGGCACCTAGTTCAAGAGGCCTGAGCTGGTGAGTAGTGTAGGCTAGCCCAAAGCTCCCCCACCCCCGCCCAAATTAACATACGAATAAGAAGTTTTCACATGGATAAGCAAAATGTGCTAGAAGATAAAATGGAAGATAACAAAGATTATGATAGCAAAGAAAAAAAAAGTATAACCCGTCAAGGCTATAATATAAAAAGAAATGTCAAAAACCTGAAAAACCATAAAACACCAAAACATGTGAAAGTAGACTTGAACAAATGGAAAGATACCTGTTTTTGGTTAGAAAGATTCAACATCATCAAGGAATTAGTTCTTCCTAGGTTGATGTGTAAATTATTGCAATCCAAATAAAAATGCCATATATTTTTAGGAAGGGGGGACAAGACTAGATAAGTTAACAATTATAAAGTTTATTTGGATAAAGAAAGAAGCAAGAATAGCCAGGAAAAATGATGAAAAAGAAACGCAATCAGGGGGTGGGAGGGTGGGGGGCAAATAAAGCAGCCCTATCCGACATGAAAACACAAAGCCTCTATAATGGAAACAATTCAGAATTGAATGAATGAAGGAAAAGATAGACAATGGAATGGAATACAAAATTCAGAACAAGACCTAACTATGTCTGGAAATTTTAGTTTTGATAAAGGGGGCATCATGAATGAGTGGGTGAAAGGTGTGCTTTTTACTAAGTTGTATTGGGATAAAGAGAAATCCAACGTAGGCCAAGATATCATTTCTCACCTGTCATACTGACAAAACCCCAAGCTTGACAACATGCTCTCACAGAGGCTGCAGGA